ACTGTTTTATTATTTTTAAAGTTAAATTTAGAACGTTTTTTAAAAATTTGTTTATACTTGCTAGCTTATTCTTAAAACAAGTATCACTAAAATCAATATAATTCATTATAAAGCTAATTAAGATAATTGTGGAATTACGTACCATTAAGTGTATAGTGGCCAGTAATGATGAGTAACAATTATTATTAGATCAATAGTTTCTTTCACTTCGTGATTCAAATTCATTACCTTAACTGAATTGAAGCACCAAATGGTTTACTCTATTTTTACAACAAATTGTTTTATAGTAATAGATTTTGTCGGCTAATTTTGATTATCTTTTATATCCATTATCTCCTGGACCAATTAATAAAAAGAAGTAAAATATTTTAGTTATGTCACTAAATTGTCTCTATGTGTAAATCATGTTTAGCTATTATTGAAATATAAAACTGGCGTTCATTCAATTTACATATAGGTAAATAGCGGAGCCTTATTAAAAAGCAAAGAATAATTATTTGTGATAATATTGATGACTAGACTTGGCAGAGTTTCCTCCAAGCATCAGTATGCAGAAACCACGTGCAGTATGACATATGGATCTATTGTTTTATTAATTTATTAATCTATTAAACAATTTTACAAAAGTCATGTGTATCGGGTATTTTTTTTTGTCTAACAAAATGTAAAATTTTACAGATATATTAGTCATTTTAAAGAATAACATAAGTATGAGTACTTTCACATTAATTCATATTTATACATACTTAAAAGTTAACATAAGTATGGGCACTTTCACATTAATTAATATTCATTTAAAAGTTCCAATGAAATGACTTTGAGGCCTTATAAAAATTTATGATAGAAGAAATTGGGTATAAGTTTAATTCTAATGCATGGTTACGACATGAATATTTATTCATTTAGGATTTGCCTTAAGAGCACTGTGATGTTTACACCATCTGGTGGCAATATTAAATAAATACAACTTTTATATACATGTTGCCTGACAAAATCTCAACTTATCTAAAGCAATCTATGTTAATATAGGGTTTTGAGGGGTAGGTAATATTTTTGATAAATGACGAATAGAAGAGCAACGTTTAACTAAAACATTATCCAGTTGAATAGAAATCTTAGTAGAAACTGATGGTCTGAATGATGTCGCTCACGAAGAATGTTAAAGTAACCTAGGAGCCAAAACGTTTTAGCTGTCTAGTCTTTAAACAATACAAAAAAACAAAACTGATACCATGTCTTAAATTGTGAGCTCATTTTAAGAAACAAAGTAGATTGGCGACTGACGTTGCGATGCTAGAACCGTACGAATAAAGAAAGAAGAAGATGTATTGAAAACAGCTTCGTTTACACGAGTTTCTTTCCTTTTTTTTTACGTGTTTTATCTCTGATGATCACAGAAAACTTTAAACATCTTAGCTAAGTTGTTACTTTAATTATAGCGTTTGCTTACAAGGTGTAACGAAATGTATGAGTGGAATTTGAAGCTTTCAGAAAACTTTGCGTCTAAATTTTTATTTAATTTTCTTTCTTCAATTAGAGTATGTCTACGGAGAACATTTCAACATTAATCCATTTTTCAAATTAACGTGTGGTACGAAAAATGCTATAGTATAAGCGTAATGAAGCCCGCATTTTACATTTTTAAAATACCTTTATATTTATTTCTCTGAATATTAAGCCCGTTTTCTCCTTACACTTCTTTA